AAGCTGGCACTCGACATTTGATAGTTATTATTTTTCAGACAAGCCCTTTCCTGTAACCTCAGTTTCCCTACCTGGAAATAAGAAGGTTCAACAAATCATCTTTAAGGCCTTTCCAGAACTTTGGCTGAGTAGATTGGAGTCTGGGCTTTGGGTTCAAATCCAAGCTCTGCAACTAGCTGTATGACCTTGGGCAAGTCACTTAACTCCTCTGAGCCTCATCTGTAACTTAAGGGCACTAATAGCACCTACCTCATGGGGTGTTGTGACACTTATTTAAAAAGACTTATCATGTACCAAAAAAAAAAAAAAAAAAAAAAAAAGCTTAGCACAGTCTCTGGGATACTAAGCTGAGCTGGTACTGCATTTCTAGGGTTCTAAGTTGGCTGTGAGGAAACACTGTTCTTGGGAGCTCCCTTTCCAGTAGCTCAGCCCCTTCCACCTGCCCCTTCCTCCTCCCTCTGTCAGGCTTTAGGACTTGCTCTCCTCACGTCTACACTCTTCGTTGGCTCCTAGCCATGCTTTCTCAGCCCCTAACCTGCCTGTGGGAAAGGACCCCAAGCTCTCTGCAGCTCCATCCTTCCTCGAGAACTCCAAGCAACTCCCTTTTCATTGTGAAGGTTTTTCTATTCACTTGGGCAGAGCCACATGGGGGATGAGGTGATGTGACCAGCCCTCCAGAACCTGCCACCACTGTGGAGGACCAACCATGTGCTGGGAGCTTAACCCGTGCCCGCTGGGTGCTCTTTCTCAGGTTCTAGAACACAACATTGGAGGAATGGAAGAGGAGGGATGTTCTGGAAAAGCGGGTGTGTGGAGTGGAATGGAGGGAAGGGGGCCTTCTGGGAAGCTTGGGCCTGCATTCTCAGGGCCCACACATTCACTCCACAAACATGTGCCAGGCAACCAGGATGAGTTAGAGGCCATGGAGGAGAAAAAGCGAAGAAGCGGCCCCACCCTTGTAGAGCTCACATTCTGTGAGGCAGATCAGCTAATGTAGTAAACAGCTCTCAGACTTCAGGGAGAAGTGGATTTGCACCATCACAGAGGCTTGTTCCAAGTGTGTTGGGAGTGGACATGGGTGAGGAGAGTTGGGGAGGCTTCCTGGAGGAGGTGGCATTTCAGCTGGTCTTAAGATATTTCACCAAGTACATGGGGGCAGGCGGTGAGGACCTGGCAAGCAGGGCACAGGAGGGTGGGTGTTGGCATGCAAGGCAGAGCTGTTGAAGGGGTCACTCTGGGAAGAGCCTTATTGTTACAAGGGAGAAATTTATCCAAAGCTGTGGGCTCTTGTGATGTCTGGGCGAACCTGTGGCATAGGAGGGGCCAGGGTAGGGGTCCTTTTCTTCCCTCTGCTGACCCTTAAGGTGCTGTGCTCTGCATTCTTGCTCTTGCAGGCTGCCCGGCTGCCCAGCTTGCTGAAAGTGAGAAAGAAGTGGGTCTATGCGACCTTTTGCAGCCTCTTCTTCCTGCTCTCAGTGGTCATGACTGGCTGCTTCCTGTGGCAGTATCACCTCCCCAAGCTGAAGACCGGTGAGTGCAGGAACAACCTGGAGTTCCTCCCCACCCCCAGGGTCCTCCTGGGCTTTGAGCTGCCACCCCAGACTCGAGGGTGTAGGGAGGACCATAAGATTTAGACTCAGAAGCTCCGGCCTCCATTCTGACCCCAGTTCTCATTAACTGTGCATCTTTGGGCCAGTCTTGTGACATCTCTGTGCCTCGATGCCCTTGTGTATGAAATGAGGACCCTAATGCCACCACCAGGGTTTCCTCAAGTCACTCAGCCTGGTGGTTAATCTCAGTGTAAACAGTGTTCTCCTTACTCTGCCTTCAGACACCACGGTGGGATCTCTGGGCCCTGGTCCCCTTCAGACAATGCCCTCTTGCCTCCCCACAGCTATATCTAAGACCCTAGAAGAACCACTCACAGGTGTCCACGGACAGCAGCTGCCATTTCTTGGAGCCTCTCCTTCCTGAGCTGGTCAAGGCCCAGCACAGGCGCCACCACTGCTGGTGAGGTCCAGCAGACCCTCTGTTGCTGTAGCAACTGCTGGGACCTCCAACCTGCTAGGATTCGGGATGGGCCAGAGCCCCTGGTCTCTGCTGAACTGCGGGGGAGTGGCTCTCTGTATTCCTCTGTGTCGTTCTGTGTTGCAGATGCCCCAAAGCTCAACGAGGTGCCCTGGGCTCCCAAGTCCCACAGAGATTTTTTGCAGAAATGGCTTCTTTCATTTTCTTGTCAGTTTCTTTCTCTCCCCAACCCTTTCATTCTAGGGTAAATTCCTTTATGAGGGACCTCTTAGTCCCTTAAGCAAATAGAGCCCCAGGTGGGCAAGCTGGCTTGTCCTCTAGGGCCATGCTCCTCAGACTATCAAACTACCAATTGATAGGGGACTGGAATTACTATAAACACATAAAAATGAATTATTAGGGAAATTTTTAAAAAGACATACAAAATAAGTGCAAATTTTGAATTATTAGGTTCAACAAATGCCAAATGACTCTGTCAAATGGCTATAAAAGTTCTGAATGCTCTCTCAAACTTCATGCTTAATTTGTCATAAACGAGGAACAAACAGTTCATGGACTAGCCCTAGGTCTGTAGACCACACCGATTTAGGTCCACATTCTCCCTTGGCATCACCTGAGAGGTGGTTAGAAATGAGGGCTCTCAGACCCCACCCCATACCCACTGAATCAAATCTGCATTTTAAGATTCCCAGGTGGTTTCGGGCCGGCCCGGTGGCGCACTGGATAGGTGCGCCGCTTGGGAAGCGTGGCGGCGCTCCC